GATATCATAACACACCGTAAAATTATAGAGGCCTAGTGACACTAAATGTGAAGACCGAGCTAGTAACGAGCCCGACCATCGGTGGGTTCGTTATCTCATGTCCTCTGACATTGAACTGTAGCTAATTCTATCACTAATTTATGTGATTAGAGTTTACTTAGACATCATTTGTAAAATGATGCGACAATATGTATGTGTTATTTTCACTGTGTCATAAAGAATAATTCGGTCGAGAAGATAAAATTATTTATATGACTAGTACATAACTTATGCTAACTACATATATGGTCGATGGCATGGCACATGCCACATCATTTAGCAAGAATCTCTTAATAAACTTTTAGTACATGTGGCATTACTTTTTTTGGGGGAGGCGCCAAGCCCATCGAACGCATTGGAAAAGGCCTTTTTAGCTTTTTCTCAAAAAAGCACTTTCGATCGGATTGCACAAAAGCCCACTCAAAAGATTCAATTCATCTCCGTCCTCCAAGGAATTCTTGGGCTCGTGGCAAATCATGGACTGACCCCTTTTGCCTAATGCTTTTGAGTTCATTGAAGTGGGTATATTGTTTTATTGTCCATAAACAAACAAGGTATAGGTATCTAATGAGTCCAAACAGTATATTAATCATTTTCAAGGAATGTGTAGGCTAAAGAACTTTGGACCCAATTCGAACGAATCGAACTTTTCCAGTTATGTTAATCGGGTCACGTGACATTAGTCTCAGTTCTAATCGGACCGTTTGGATTAATTCAGAAGAAACAATTCACAACACATATGACATGGTTGAAAGTTTGAAGAATAGTTAAGTGACTACTGGAGAAAAAATTTAACTAAATTCCTATTGGGAAGGATGAGATTAACATAATTTTTTTAAAAAAATAGGGGTCCTATGAGCCATTTGATGACTTTTTTGGGGGTACATTATATATTTTAATTTGTTTAATTCTCCTTTCATGCAAAATTCGAGGTCTAATTCGCTAAAAAAACCCTTAACTTTAGGTCTAATCTCAATTCTGTCCCGAACTTTCTTTTCTCCGAAAAAATATCACCAACTTCCACTATAATCCCAAATCTTTCCACGCAACCAAAAAATGACCACTGATTTTTTTCTAAATTATCAACATCTATGCCACCTAGAGGTTCATTATCAGAACATGCTTCTTCATCAACACCCTCACTTTCGCATGGAACAACAACAATTGATATTTTTGATGAAACCAATGGCGATTTTTGGACGAAAGGTTAACAGTGGCAAATTTGAACTAAAGTGAAAGTTGGTGATTTTTTTTTAGACAAAAAAAGTTTGGGACAAAATTAGAATCGAACCTCAAAGTTGGAGGTTTTTTTTTTTCAAGGAATTAGGCTCACAGTCCGATCGGTAGCTACTTACTTTGGATGCTCACATATCCGACTACAATTGGAAACACGCCGATACTCCCCGATTGAAGAAGACTTGTCACACGTCCTTGACCTAACTTCCCCCACCCCAGCTCATGGGATTCTTGGACATTGTATTACCGAGCGACGTGCGGAACGATAATTTAAATTCTAAGCTCAAAATGTTTATTAAAAGCCCTAAACTATGTGAATTCTAAATTTCTTTTTTTTTTATAGCTTTTCCCACATTTTCTGAATTTTTTATTTTATTACTATTATGATGTTTTTATTCTGGAAAAATAGATTTCGGACTGGGTCAGGGAACCCGGACCGACTCGGCGGTCTGACCCGGACCCTATCGGTCCGGGTTGGGTTTGAATCTGGACCACCTTTTGGGCCCAGTCCAAATGTGGCCTTGGTCTGATGGGTTTGGGCTATTCAAACCCCAAACTTCTGGATTCCCTTTGAACAATTCAAGCCCCAAACCAAAATCAGCCCACACGCTCAACCTAGTTTGATTTCCCGCGGCCGCTGTTGGGGCGTCGCTGGCTAGGCGAGGGTCAAGCGTTCAGCTCGAGTTGGCTGAGGCGATGCCGGGGTGTACCCTCGGCCGGACAGAGATGAGCGGCGTCGCTCTCCGCGGCTGGCCGGCTCCATCTCGGCGAGGCCGCAATGAAGCGAGTAAGGGAGCGGGTGCGAGTCGGGTCGGCTGGGCTTTGGGCCAAGTTGAGCTTGGCTCGTGGGCCTAGCCGACTTGGGTCGGCCTCATCTGGGCTTGAACAAGGCCATTGGGCCAGTTTAGTTTAATTATAGATTTGGGCTTAGTTTATTTAGTTTTTTATGTGGGCTTTGTTTTGGGCCAGACTGGGCCCGCACGTTAGGCCCATTTCAGCTGAAGGCCTGGTGACCTGGGTTAGTGGACCCGGGTCGGTCCTGACCTGGATCGGATACGAAGATCGGACCAGGATACCTTTTTTAGATTAATTTTTTTTAACTATATTACTTTTTAAAAAATTAAAAAATTCCGAAAAATTTATTTTTCTGAAAATTAAGAAAAAGCTTAGAAACTAGATTTTGAGTAATTTTCTTTTTAAAACGTGTGAAATTTTTTTATCAAAAAATTATATTGAACAAGTTCTTAAGGCTTTACAATAGGGTTTTGAAAGTTCTTAGAGACAAATGCTAGGTCGCTGTTTGTGCATTTCTATTTCGACTATTACTTGATTGTGCATTTTCAATATATTGATTGTTGCTTCCCTCTAGCCTTGCTAGGGATAGAACTTTAGGACTCACAATTGGTAAGAATGCTGCATGAACACCTTAGTTGGCGAGTGAACAAGTTTAGGTACCGAAAGGGCGCTAGTTGGATAACTAGTGTAATCAAGTGCCCGAACTCATTGAATTTCTAGTTTGTAGAACTAAATTAATTCTCCCAATGTTTTAGTTGATTATCTAATCGACTCACCACAAACTAATTAGTGGCGACTCCCAAATGAAAATGATTTGCATGTTAAGAAATTAAATCAAGTTGCGAATTGATATAGACTTGAGAGAACCCGAGCTAGATTTAGGCTTAGTAATCTATTAGCCAATCCCTAGGAGGTGCACCGTTCGGGGAGGTCGCGACAGTATAATTCTAAAAATAATCGCTTGTATCACTTATAAAAATGAATAAACAAAAAATATTCTCATCGTCCACGAATATGTTTGGACATATTATTATCGATAAGAAAAATATTTTTATGGACTAATTATTTCAAGTGATTATTTTTAAGAAGATGTATTTCAAATCATTCAACTTATGCGAAATAAACGGAGCTTCGAAAAAAAAAATTCATGAAACTAAAAAATGTATAACTTATGTCCTACTGTCGCGCACCGGCACTACCTCCGCGAATTGTGAGATCAACATGGAAGATTGCAATTTCTAATGAGAAAAATAATGGAGCTTTAGCAAGTCAACCTTCCGTGCTGCATTGGAGGGGACAATTTTAGACATATATAGTTGTCAAATCGACGATGGAAATGAATATAATTAAATTGTGCAAAAGATCTAACTTGAACGTTGCATATATATAAAAGAGTAGAATGGGGGGGTACGATACGTCTGTTTCGCTCTCGTTTGGTAGAGTTTCCTCCCTCTCATGAGTAGAGCTTTTCTTTTATCCCTGCCATGGTGATGGTGATATCAAAAACCCTAAAACCCCTCTTGATTTCGAGCTTGTTTCCTCCCAAATGGACAATCACCTCATCCCAATCTCAGTTGCATAGAGGTTTTTTTTGCATCTCAAAGCCTTCAATTTCTTAGCTCCACCTTTCGCCCAAACCCTAAAAATTTTCACCAAACCCTTTTTAGCCTTTCCACCCACACCAGTTATCCCTTACCCACTACCCTGTCCCGAACAGTGTTGTGCACCCACAAAAACCCTTCCCTTTAACAGAAACTCCCGGTAGCTTATTCCTCCTTGCCTCTCTGCTGTTTTGTCCAGAACAACTATTTCTTCTTCCAGTCTCAGAGCTCCCTTCAATCTATTTTAACCTTAAACATTCTAAAATCTCTAAAACTCATTCCAATCGGAGGAGGTGAGTATGCTCCGGTAGACTGCCGTGAGTCTCTTTCCCAGTTTCGCACCCTAGTCTAGCTCCTTGTAGTGTCCCCGCAACATTGTAAGATGGAAGGTGAGACTGAGAATGACTTATGCGTAGCTGCTTTGTGTAAAAGTTTGGGTCACTTGTGGTTGGAGGATGACGTAGTGAATTTGAGACGGGAAATTCCTTTTGAAAAAACGAGTGGAATGCAACCTTACTTTGTATGGTAAACTATTTTCGAAGCCCAATGTAAATTTCCAAGCCTTCCGTAATACAATGAAGAAGGCATGGAAAATCGAATCAGTGGTCTGCAACAAAAAAAGAACCGGGTTTCTTTTCATTCGTCTTCGAATCTAAAAGTGACAAAGAAAAGGTGATACAATTAGGTCCTTGGTCTTTTGCTAGCAATTTACTTGTTCTTAAACAATGTGAGCCGGATATCCCCGAGCATTGTTATGATTTTACACGATATGCGTTCTGGGGGCCCTCGCTGGAGCCTTGTTCGGGGTCGGCGAGGGTTGTCGAGCTTCGGAAAGCCCAGGCGACCTCCACACACCCCTTCCTGACAGCTATGGCGATGGCCACCGACGAGGGCTTGGCCACCGCCACAACTGCTAGTTGTGGGTCTCTTTTTTATTTTATTTTTCATAGCTTTTTCTAATTTAATTATTTTTTTGTTACTTTTTCTGACGTAGCACTTGTTGGAAGTCACGTGTCTTAAAAAATTAATAAAAAAGGCACGTCAGCGCCACTTCAGCATTTCCCGTTAATAAATTAGACAGTGTTAACTTTAGGACTCATTTGAATTAATTTGATAAGTTTTAGGACTCGATTATCAATTTAACAAATTTTAGGATCCAATTACATATTTTGTAAATTTTAGGACTCGATTATATTTTTATGGTAAGTTTTGGAACTCCCTAGTGCACGTATCCCGGATATATCATAGTATGTTTGACTAAGCATGAAACTTGTTCCAACGGATAAAACGAAAGAAAGTGTTTTTTTATCTGATGTACCAAAAGCCAAATCCCACACAAACTCTCTCTCTCTCTCTCTCTCTCTCTCTCTCTCAGACATTCACGTGAATGGCCTTGCTCAACGCCATCGCCAGACGATCATCAATGGCCGCCGCCGCCGCGCTGCTCAGGCCGTCCACCGCCACCGTCCTCCTCCGCTGCATGAGCAACGTCCCCGAGAACGCCGTCTACGGCGGCCCCAAGCCCCAGTCCCCGGCCAAGCGCGTCACCCTCACCCACCTCCGCCAGAAGCACCGCCGGGGCGAGCCCATCACCGTCGTCACCGCCTACGACTACCCCTCCGCCGTCCACCTCGACATGGCCGGCGTCGACGTCTGCCTCGTCGGCGACTCGGCCGCCATGGTGGTCCACGGCCACGACACCACCCTCCCCATCTCCCTGGACGAGATGCTCGTCCACTGCCGCGCGGTGGCGCGCGGCGCCAAGAGGCCCCTGCTCGTCGGGGACTTGCCTTTCGGTAGCTACGAGTCGAGTTCGAATCAGGTAGTGGCATTTGATGCTTGTGTCTAGATTGATTTCTCGTGTGTATTGTGTGAAGAAGTTGATGAAGATGGAAGTTGTTTTGGTTGTCGCCATGGTGTTTGCGCAAATGCTCTCTCTTTTTTGTGAATCCCATCTGCAAATGAAATGTATAATTTTTTATCCTCTGGGGGCGGAGGGTTTGAGCGTGCTGATTTGTTCTCAAATGTCTCCGTATTGGTAGTCAGTATAGAGTGAACTCCTTTTCTGCTTGTTTTAGTGACATGTCTTGCGAAATTGCTACATGCTGATTTGTAGAAGTGAAAGTTGTGTTTTTGGGTAATCGACAGGCTGTTGATACGGCGGTTCGAGTGCTGAAGGAAGGAGGAATGGATGCGATTAAGTTGGAAGGAGGGTCGCCTTCGAGAATTACTGCTGCGAAGGCAATAGTGGAAGCTGGAATTGCAGTAATGGGGCATGTGGGGCTAACTCCTCAGGCAATTAGTGTTCTTGGCGGATTTAGGCCTCAGGGGAAGAATATCTCTAGCGCCGTCAAGGTACGTTTCTCTTGCATTCTCATATCGAAGAACCTCATGAAGTTATTCTTGGAGATGTTGGTATTTGTGTGCTTTGAAATCAATTTAGCTTTGTCTTCGCATAGGTTGTGGAGACTGCATTAGCTTTGCAGGAAGCGGGGTGTTTTTCCGTTGTTTTGGAATGTGTACCAGCACCGGTGGCTGCAGCAGCTACTTCAGCTCTTAGAATTCCTACTATCGGCATTGGAGCTGGACCATTTTGCAGTGGTCAGGTCAGTTCTTTATTTCTTCTTTTTTGATCGGGATTTTAAGCACGCATCAGGTGAAATATCTATTGTTTTGTGGGAAGAGATTATTCTAATGAACATTTCGATTGGCTTGCCGAAAACTCATTTTACCAGCTGTGAGATAAAGGAAAAGGTTTTGAAAGTGATTACATGAATGTGGCAGGGGACTCTGGTTAAATTATATTGGATTGTGGGTTTTGTTATAATTCACTCTCCATCTATGTTGATTGTCCTAGTCAATCTTCTCAAGTAAGAAGTATCTTCTAGTTTGTTTATCGTAGCACACGCTTCTCCAAGTACAACATAGGCATCAACTTAATTTGAAGCCTGGATTTTTTGGCTCTAGAAAACCTCTTCTAAAATGACTGCATTATTTTACATGGAGACATCTGACCAAATCAGCATCGCATCATAGGAAGACATCTGAGCGTATCATCTATCAAGTTAAATTTTGTTTGTGAGGTTTTAAGCGACTAATCCTTTTCACTCTTTTTGATCCTACCACCCGCTAGGAATAGATAAATTTGAAAACCTAAGGGAATTTGATTGGGGGAATAGTTGCTGTAATGTTTAGCAGCAACTAGTGCAGTCTTTCTCTTTTTTCTGTAACTGCAATGAACGATCAAATCTGCTTAGGCGAAATTATTTATTGTATTGCCTATTTCCATATCCACGTACCTGATAGCTATGATCATCTTCAACTGCTTTGATTTTCTGACTGGCCGTGTAGCAGCTTCATTCACAATGGTAGTAGACTCTAAAGAAGGGACATTTAGGCTAATTTTCCGTTTCTGATGCAGGTTCTAGTATACCATGATCTGCTTGGAATGCTCCAACACCCTCATCATGCCAAGGTCTGGTCTTTTATTATAACTGTACTTCATCTCTGTTTTCAGCATCTTCTAATTTTACTCAAGCAAAGGAACCCCGACTTTCACAGGTCACGCCAAAATTCTGTAAACAGTATGCCCAAGTTGGGGATGTTATCAACAAAGCTCTTCTTGAATACAAGGAAGAAGTGACGAGCGGCTCGTTTCCTGGTCCTGCCCATAGCCCCTATGAAATTAGTCCTACTGATTTCAATGGATTCCTTAAAGAGTTACAGAATCTGGGGTTGGAGAAGGCAGCATCAGCAGCTGCTGCTGTAGTTGAAAAGAGTGATAAATCTAAATGTAGCGATGGAGAGAATGCCACAAAATAATTGAATGGTGCCTTTTCTCGCTCTGCATCTTCATAATTGGGACAAAGATTCTGCAATGTTGGACTTCTTATCAGTTTGGAATGTTGTTTCAGGTGCCCGCACTTTAGGAGTTCAAAAAAATAGTTCCCGCATCAGCAGTCATTAGAAGTGAAGAAATAACCCACATCTTCTCGGAATAGTTCATTTTTCTGTTGTTCTTCCCCTTTTTCTTTTTAACTCCCTTTGAAATGTCATCTGATGAATAATGACTCCACCATTCTGGCCAAAAAGGAAAAATACTCCAGGTTACTGACTACTATATATTGTGATAAGCCATTGGTTGATGACCTCAGTTGTTGCTGGGAAGATGATTGCTCCGGCCATAACCCCGAGTCCATCACCAGGCTTGAGCTGTCCAATTTGACGGGCCGAGTCCATCACCATGCTTAATGAGGCTGCTGGTTCCAGTTCGGTGGACTTGGACCAGCTATATCAACCTTAAGGCAAACAAACAGTGGAAGAATCTTATGTACAAGCCAGACCCAGTTGATTCTTCAGGTTTCATGGAAGTGACTGAATATAGGAAGTGACCTTTTGGGCATTGACTGAAGGACGTTGGTTTTGCTTCTTGGTTGATGTACTTTTGTATACTGAAATGGTGGACTAGATGGTCGTTCGTCGTGTTTATTGCCAGTTCATCCTAGTAACTGAATAAAGGAAGTGACCATTTTGTTCTCATTCTCTTGTAATAAACAATTGGATTCTCTCTGGGTGATCTCCATCATGTTTGTTGCCAGTTCATCCATCACTCGAATCAAAAGCTATGCTAATTAATGGATTATCACATCATAAAGTGGAACCAAGCCTGCATGTAGTGACCTGCGCAAATTGCGCCAACAAATTGGTGGGCACTAAACAAGATACTGTGGAATTACTAAGGGCAAACAACATTTTTTTTTCATTTTTTATTTTTATTTTCGTTTATGATGGAAAAGTCGGTAAAACGCAAGTTTAAATTCGGGCGGGCGATCCAAACTAGATTTTCCACCTGTTCTGATTCAATTAGTAATGTTCATGAACTTTTCCGTTTAGTTTTCCAAGTCATGATGTGCTCTGTTGTTTCGGTGGACACAGCTGGAGGAATTGCCGACCGTGAAAAGGTAAGACCGAACTTTTTACATGCCATGCTGATATCGCTCATCATTGTTGGAATATGCATCATTTCGTGGCGGTCCATAAATGAAAAGCTGTTTTCTTTTCCCCCCAATTGCTCCTGAGTTTGACTAGCTATACCATTCTTTTATTACACCTTTTTTTTTTTTATCTTTACTGTTATATTCTTCTTCAAGAGAACCTTACTCTAAGTTTGGACATACTGCAGGTTCTTTAATTTGGATCCCTTTACTCCCTGAATAAGACATTTAAAGCCAAGATCATTTGTACGTATATGATAAAGACATCATTGCATGCTTGATAGCATCTTTATTCTTTTCTTTCAGCTAGTTTAATGAGCATCTTAGTTTTTTAATAGAGGTACAAATGGATCTGAAGTTCTGCATTTGCTTGCATTAGTTTATTGAAGACAGCAGTGAATTTGTTTGCTCTAGATATTCCCTGTTCATTTAGAAGGGTTCTGTTCTCCCCCACTTGTAAAAGGAACAAGCCGGAGTCACATCAACTTCCACATTATTTTCTATAATATTCCTCAGTGAGTACACTTCCGAGACTCCTCTCGATCTCCAAGCGCACACAAGTTCTATCACCTTAAGAGGTTGTAAGCATTTCTTCCAGTATTTGTGAGATTCTGCAATACTTTTGCTAGACTAGGGTTTCAGTTTCAACTTTGCATCAATACTTGTTCATCTTGTTCTTGGGTCTTGACAGTTGACTGATCATTTGATGCTATTTCTGTTTTCTGTTTCCATTAATCGTAGTGCTTAGTTATGGAAACATCAAAAGTAGATGGCATTGATCTTGGTCGAGAGACGTATGCCTCTCTGGGATTGGATAAGTCCTGTAAAGATGATTCAGGAACGCCCCAGATTTTGTTTCATATAGCTTCTGCTCTTGAGAAGTCTACACGGAGAAACGAGAAATTATGCAAGGCGTCGAAGCGAAAGGATGCTGTAACCATCTTCCACGGGTCAAGGGCACCCGCCATGAGCGTTCGGCAGTACCTCGAGCGCATTTGCAAGTACACGAGCTGCAGCACGTCCTGTTTCGTCGTAGCGTACATCTACATCAACCGGTTCCTTGAAAGAACCGGGGGCTGCCTCACTTCACTTAATGTCCACAGGCTCTTGATAACTAGCGTGGTGGTCGCTTCCAAGTTCATAGACAATGCGTAAGTGCTTCCACCCCACCCCCCCGCATAAACTCGTCTTCCATGACCCTCCACTCTAATCTTCTCTCTTGTTTTCTTTTCCTCTTTTGATAACAGAAGTGCGCGCGCAGAGTTTGACGTATAGACATCGATCGACTCCCAATTAGTAGCCGCAATACTAGTTTGAATTTGATAATCAGTTAGTGCAGTTACAGAGCTATCCAATTTAGTGATCTTTCAGGTCTTCTTGATTAAGAAGCTTGAACCACTTAAATTCGAATGCGAGCATCGATTTTGTTTTGGGGGATGATGTTCTGTGTGCACCTAGTAGTACGTCATACCCTGTCCCCAACATCCTCGTCACCCTCGACTGCAATGCTCGCCTCGGCTCTATATGTTGGAAAGCATAATAGAAAGTTGTTACTCTCGGTTACAGATATTCACAATTCTTGCAAATTTATTAGGAACCTGCATCCACAAGCTGTATGTAATTTGACCTTCTCCGGTATCCTTTCATCTATTAAATGCAGAACAAGCGAGCTCGGAATCCATGATTGAATGCTCATCGAAAACAGTTTGAGACATGTCTGGTCGAGTTTAAATTTGGCTATTTTTTGTGATTTTCAAACCTCTGCAAATGTCTTGATGCTTAGATGTGAATCTGAAGTCAAATTGATGACTAGAATGCAAGCTTTATCAGAATGTGTTCCCTGTTGTGCTTAAGAACCTTTTACCAAAAAAAGGCTGGTTACCAAATGCCATTGGCTCATCTTGTTTCTATGATTACCATCTCCAAGCTTGGTTCGAGATTTCTTATGTTCAAGCCCGATTCGCAATGTGCAGGGGTACTAACAATGCTTATTTTGCAAAAGTGGGAGGAATAAGCAATGCAGAAATGAACAGGATTGAGGTCAACTTTCTGTTCAACCTCGATTTCCGACTTTGCGTATCGCCAGAGGAGTTCGAGATGTGTTGCTCACAGTTAGAGACGGATGGCAGTGGCAAATACCAGATCGATCGCTCGATCAAGTGTTGCGGAATTAGAGAAGGGTGGCTCAAGAAAGACAGTGATAAATGCACTTCCACCATTGCAGGGCTCAGCTGCAGAGCTATTTGAGTCCAAATGTTACTTTTATTTTCTGATGCCTCCTGGCCAGGAAGGGCTAATTTCTTTCCTTCTAATTTTGTTCTGTAGCCATGTCGAAAGTCTGAACTTTATAAAAGTCTCTTGCTTTACAAGGTCAAACCCGATTTTGGGTGAGAACATTCTTTAGTGCCAGACAAAATGAAGTGTTACAAGCATATTATGACCACTTTTTGGTCAAGGGTCTTTCTAGTCCTACAAATAGCCTGATTTTCCGCACATAAGTATATGAAACTAGGTTAGTGAACCATCTACTGTTTCCTCCGAAAAAGAACAGATTAGACAAACCTGCCACTAGGTCGCAATTTACATAAATTAATCAGCCCGTAGCACCTAAGATTTGAAGACTGCAACATGCACAAGCTTGACCAATGATGTTGCATCAGCTAGAGAGTTTCTGAAAAGATTAGGAACAAGTAGAGGAAATGATTTTGAGCTAAATGCCTTAGTTCAACAATCCATAGAGGCCACAGCCTCGGCGAGCTGAATTAGGCAGTCCCCGAGTCAGCAGTTTGATTTTACTAGCAGAAGGAAATTGAGAGAATGAAAAATCGATATAATAATTCCAAATTGAGCTATCTCTGAAATTTCTAGCAAAACTTTAAAGTGCACAGGTGCTGCACAATACCTCATTTCAATTAACATGTATTAACATTATACTCCATAAACCCTACCCTACCAAGACCTACTAGGAAATGGATGTAACAGAAGTACAGAAGACGGTAACTTAAACAGCAACAAAGAGAGAAACCTGCAACCTCAAAAACCCCAGTAAAACAGGTACCAAATAAAGCTTTGCCAAAAGCTGCTTCGAAGATCATACAGATATTAAAGCCATATAATAGAAAAGGCTTCATCAATCAACTGGAGGCGTTCTTCCTTGCAGAGTAGACACGGTAAGCAGCCAGCCCGACAACAGCTACAGCAGCACCAACTGTCATCATTGATGAATCAATTCCACATTATCAAACTTTAAGCCAAAAACTCAATCATCTAAATTGACCAGAATAAGCTACTGTCATTACAATTTTCACTGTTTTATGAACCCTAGCATATACAATTTTCACTGAAACAAAAAGATAAATATACTCAAACGAGATCATTTCTTAACAACGGCATCTTCCATATGGCACTATTACCTTGCTTAAATATGAGAAAATGTCGTGATACTAAAAGGGTCTAATTCTGACTATGCCTTTCTAAACTCCACACACCCCATAAACTGAAAATCAAAATTACAACCAGTCACAAACCACTGATAGACAATTAAGGATCCTTAGAGAAACAACATACCTGAAACAAACATAAGAGAGCGATTGACGAGTCTATGATACTGTTTGCGGCTTCTCCCAGCTTCTGTTTCCGGAATACTCAAGTGAGGATGCTCTGCAGCGTTCACGATCCTTTTGAATATAGTATTAAAATCACCCAGTTTTGCGCTGATAGGTATAGGGGCCTCTATTCCCATATCCTGACTCACCTATATAAGCAAAGACAGAAGAACAAGATTTGAAGAGAACATTAACCAAGCACCCGCAAAAGCAGGCTAGAAGTATAAATTTTAAATTAACAGACAATTTGGAAATATGAAGCAGGGCCACAATCTGCAGTTTCTCTTTCTCAGAGCATTTTTCTCTTTCTTGGAGAATTAATGGGAAGATGAACAACATTAAGTTTCTTCTGAAGATGTGCTTGTAATGCCAAATAAACTGATAATCTAGGCAGAAACAAAAAAAAACACGTGCATGCAATGTGGCTGACGTAACAATAATAATAACATAAAAGGCACGGGGATGGAGTTAGCATTCCCAACCCCATCACTCAATCCCTTTGCAAAAAGAAAGCACAGGACAACTTCTAGGATATTACATCCTTAACTTTGAAAGCATATGCTTATTGGGAAAAATTTATACCCTGGTAGAGTCTTGTATAGCCATGGGAAATGGATCTAGATCATCCTTAGCCGCGACAATAAGGCAAGGCACCTCGAAACCAGTAATTTCACCATGACTGGCAACTTCCACAAGTAATTCAGTTGCTCTCTTCCACGAGGACTCATCAGAACTGAAAACCAAGGAAGATAACTTTCAGGGCAATGAGAATTCTAATGGCAAGAGGCATATTCATGCATTGGACAAACTTAAATTCAAAAGCCACGTAATGTGAGCAATATAAGCTTGGTTGCTTACATGGAGTTAAAAATAGACTCTACGCATGGTTGTCAATGTACCTCAATCCACAATTCATCAAACAATGCAGCTAGTGAAGTGCAGGACCGTATACATTTTCTTGTCAAGATTAGAAAACAACCATACCATATGAAATCGCAAGGATTTCGGAATTACTTTTTCCCTTCAGGGAAAAGGATCTTCAATGTGATAACAAGAATAATGACCCAACAAGAAGACGAGTTCACAATGCCGAGACAAAAGAAACCCCAATAACCCTTAGGAATGACTCAGCTAAACAAGTCTCACCCTTTAACATATTGAATGCAGAAATAATTTTGAAAATTGTCACATTGATGTTGAAGAGAACAATCTGAAGATGTTTTAGGATCGAGATCGAGAGAGAGAGAGAGAGAGAGAGAGAGAGAGAGAGAGAGAGATCACAAATGTTTACTCGGTGGGAGTAAGAAAAGATTACACAAGAGCTATACTAATGGTGAACAAAGAGACACTCACAAAACTTAATTGGCCTATTTAATAACCTACTAACTTATTTCCAAATCGACTTGATATACTTCAATACAATGCATTACCGTTACAAGTTAAAAAGATAAGCGGGTTATATTGCAAATAAACCATATATGATGGTAACACCAGCAATGGTTCATGGTATACTAATGGCTTAAGGAGGATTGAGAAGATGATGAGGCCAACCATAGTCTTGGTCATCTCATAACTCATAGAACTCCTACAAATTAATTCCAGTTTCATCTATTTTTGCTTTCATTCGACTTCTGTAATTATTGAAGGGGATCATTGGCGCAAGAGTAAAGTTGTCACCTTGCGACTGGAGGTGCTGGTTCATGTCCTGGAAACAGCATCGTGCCAAAACACAAGGTAAGGCTGGGTTCATTAGACCCAAAGTAGTCCGACCCATCCCTGGACCCCACACATAGTGAGAGCTTCGTGCACTGGCTGCCTATTCTACTATTATAATTAGTGGTGAACTTACTCCATTATTTTTATTTTCTTCTTTGACATGTAAACGGAAGTCAATTATTGGTATAATTTCACATATCAAGCATCGATTCTACATGAAATGTCTATATAACAAACTTGACTTGATATTCAACTTTTAAATAAGAGAAGTACTGCTTTTATAGTGTGGAGAAGGTTAACAATTTATCATGCATAAGGCATCATCTGACATTTCTCCGATAATGCGCGCGGCAATGACATGAAGTTATAATAACCTGTCATGAACAAAAACGGCTATGTCACAGGCAGCCAAAGACTCCTTGTTGACCAGCATTTTTTTAACTCCATCTTCTGGAACTTCTCGCAACACGAGGGTTTTCTTGCATCCCTGCGTAACATGTGAATTTATGTCTGAGGAACCATGCAACATCAGTAACAAATCATAGTGACCACGCCATTCAACTTACCCCAGGCTGGTCAACAACATTAACAGCATAACGCTCATCAGTTGTTGAAGAGTAGGTATCAGAGAAGGGTCTGCATCAACAGTAAGCCATTATGAAGACTAGATGAACTGAGTAGTTCACAATGTTACAGAACTCATTAGAGATGAATAGAAGGCAAACCTCCCTAGTAAAGAATTCAGTAATGCTGACTTTCCGGCCTTTTTAGGCCCAAAAACTAAGCATTGGAAAACATTTCTGTCGGATTGTTGCTTCTTTCGATTATATCTTCTTGTCTTAGTGACACGGATAGCAGGTGAAGGATCACCAGGATATCCAATGTAGATGAGATTCTCAAGGGTCCGAGCTGGGTCTAACAGTGTCATCAGAGCCCACTGCATTGACACAAGAAGACTATTTAAAAATCACTTTAGACTTCCACGTACCTGGAAGGAAAAAAATCTGCTACTCATCAAAAGTTTCAAAAGGCAAGCTATATTCAAATCTTAGCGTAATCAAATATAAAATGCAAACTATAGCAAGCAGATAAAATGGTGAAAAATAGCATCCAGTCATTCTTACAAGACCTTCCAAGCATGACGAATTACAGGGACTTCTCATAAGTTAAAATGATGAAATAAGAAGCGAAAGAATATTACATAACTTCGTCCAGCATTGAAATTGTCATAAAAATTACAATTCTGAACTTTCCACAAACAAAAACACAGAAAAAGAGGTACCAAGGCACAACTTAATCCCTCATATCAACTTAAAGAAGACAAAGGACATACTTACTATATTTACGGATCATAGAACAAAAAATTAGAAGGCTAGGTAAATGCTCATACCTGAGACAAAAATCCATCCAGTGATAGTCCCTCCAATGCAGTTTTTTCTGCAGCATCTTTGTATGGAGCTTCATTCCACGGACTGAATGTAGAAAGCAGGTCTTAGGTCTATACATTTAGAATCTCATACAAACAACTTAGTGGTAAAGCGGACACAGTATATACATTGCTCATGCATTACAACCATATCTTCAAATAAAATATGCATTTATTGGAATTGCACATTCATATCCGAAGTAATATATTCCCTTAATCCCATAACCATCTAGGGGAGTAACGTGGATGCACAAATAACTAGTTTGAACTGATTTACAACAAGAAGCCACTACATTATAAAGAAAGCAAAGAAACAGCTTAAGAACAGCACAAGGTTCTAACAGAAACAGGATTACCATTCTGGTGCAGTGGAGAAGAAATCCTCGATTTCATTAGGACGTAGAGCCCCATCCTGTAAAGTAATATACTGAAAGTCAGGATTCTCAGAACTTCAGGACTAGACTGTGACCAGCAACATAGATCGAATTTTTAGATTAAAGCTTCAACTAAAGTGGATAGCTGGTAATCGAAACGAGAGTGGACATACTTCATCAATGTCAAATAACTCAAATACCCCCCTGAGATAATCAATAGCTTCATTTGTCAGCTCCACGCTCTACACAGAGGAGAACCAAAATAAGCAACACCTTTAATGCTATTAAAACACCATCAGTGGAATTAATTAAACATTCAGTA